TATCACCTGAGGCTGTTTGAGGAATCGGTGAGATAACATATGTCAGCCTGGCACATACTAGGTGCTCAGCACGTGTTAGCTCGTCCCCTTTCCTCTTGGAGGTAAGATATGTGGTTCTGGAGAAATCATCATCCCTTTGAGCCTCTCTAGGGAAAAAAAATCTGCCACTTCTGCCATAACAGCATCATCACCAGAAGCAAAGAGCTGAGTTGGACTCGAACAACAGAAATGCTGGCTGACGCTTACATGGGGCTTACTGTGTGCCAGGCACTGATCAGCTGACTTGGTGCATATTACCTTCATTAGTTCTTACTACAACCCTGTGAGGTGGACGCCACTGTAATTGCCATTTTACAGATGAGAAAGCTGAGGCGCAGAGAGGTGAAACCCCTCGCCTGAGGTCACACAGTCAGTCAGAGCCACGATTGGAAACCAGACCGTCTGGCTCCGGAGTCTGTCTTAGAACCGTCACACTACGAGTAGGTGATCGTAAACATCTTGAATTACACAAGGGAATACATAAATACACTTTAAAATAAAAATCCAGGGGGTGCCTGGCTGGCTTATTTGGTAGAGCATGAGGCTCTTGATCTTGGGGTCGTGAGCTCAAGCCCCACGTTGGGAATAGAGCCTACTTAAAAAAAAAAAAAAATCCAGCCATAGAGATAAAGTGAAAGACCTTCCCAAATCCCACCCAGTCACCTTCTGTTCCCAGGGACACTCTTATCGATTTAGGGTATTTCTTTCTACTCCTGTATCTTTGCATTTCCATGTTTGTTTATGCACCCAAAGGACTTAGTGCTTTGTTTTATGTATTTTTTATTTAAAAAAGATTATTTATTTGAGAGAGAGAGAGAGACCACAAGCGGGGGAGAGGGAGAAGCAGGTTTCCCGCTGAGCAGGGAGCCCGAAGCGGGGCTCAATCCCAGGACCCTGGGATCATGACCTGAGCTGAAGGCAGCTGCTTAACTGACTGAGCCACCCAGGCACCCCTGTCTTCTGTATTTTTTAAGCAAACGGAGTCCTGTTGTACCTATTGTTTTGCAACTTGCCGTTACCACTTAATATTGATGTTATGTCTTGGACATCTTGTCATTTGACCAATTATATTCTTTTAAACATCTATGTTGTCAACTATAGTGGGAAGGTACTATGTTTTATTTAACCGCCATCCTTCCATGCACATTTAGGCTGTTTCAGTTTTTTCCAGGAATAGTGCTGCAATACACCTGTCCATGTATCCCGAGTGTACAGACGTGCTCGGATATTTATTGCACAGGGGAACCTGTACATGGGACTGCCTCCTGGAGGGGCAATGCCAGCCTGTCATCCAGGCAGCTGCCCTCGGTGTCATTAAGGGGCATGCGGACAACAGCACATGGCCGTGAGGGCAGAGAGAAGTGGGCAGGTGCAGCGGGCATCAGCTGGACTCAGGGTGAGGTCAGTGGCTGTCACAGGCCTCTGTTCCATGAGGGCCTCTGGTGACAGTGCTGGGGGTCTCTGTAAACCCCCACATGCGGAAGTGCAATTTCTGGAGCTAGAAATGACTTTGAATTTCTGACTCAACCCTTATCTGCTGCATGACTTCGGGCAAGTTCTTTTGCCTCTCTGTGCCTCATCAGCAAAATGGGGATAATAATACCTACCCCAGGTCAAGACTGAATGGCACGATGGGTATCAGATGCTGACACATAGTAAGTGCTCCCTAAATGCGGATGATGGTGCTGATTGGGGGTCACTTGGAGTGCTTTGCTTTGAGGCCTTGTACTGGGACAGTGTGACCTGGGGAAGGTCCCCTATCCTCTCTGAGCCTTGGTTTCCTTCTCTCTTCCCTTTTGCCTGTGTTCTTGGGTCAACTCTTTGGGGAAAAGAAGAGAAAAAAAAAACAAACCCAGTGTTTTCCCAGGAAGATTCCTAGAGAGGGAATCTGAGGCCATCTTTAATTCCTTCTCTGGAGCCCCCCTTCCCAGTGATTGCCTCTCACCCAGATGTCTCTCTGGTGTCTCAGTTCCCCAGTGCCCTAGAGCTCTGACAAGATCGGGGCTGTCTCTTGCCCCACCCAGGTTGCCAGAGGTCGGGCGGGGGGGGGTAACCTGTGTGAGTGGCTCCTCTGGAGATGGTGGCTCCCTCCTTCCCTGTTATCTATCCCCATCGATGGTGGCAATTCGAAGGGGATGGCAGATCTTTGGGGGTAAGCAGGAACCTCTCCTCCAGGCTGACCACGGTGGGGCCACAGAAGCCATATAGAGTCTACCCTGGAAGGGAGAAAAGGAGACGAAGAAAGAGAAAAGCAGAGGCTTTTCCCCCTCCCTTGCTACAGCATGGTGAGTCAGAGCATTTGTCCTGACATCTGTGCTGCTTCGGGGAGCCTGAGCTGCTGGCAGAAGGACAGCTCCTGAGGATGCTCAAAATTTCCCCAACTTCCAACACATACCACTGAACCAACCTCAGGGCTACTACGTATGTAGCACTTAACTCTGTATCGGGCACTCTGCATGCATTTATTTTCCACAGCCTCGCAATGACTCCACAAGCTGAGTATTGTTTTTCCCATTTTACAGATGTGGAAACAGAGACTGTCTCAAGATCACAGAGCGAGTAAGTGGTAGAGGCATGACTTGAAGCCAGATCACTTGTCTTAGAGTCTAGCTCTTGCCTCCGCACAATGCTGCCCCACCCAGACAGAGGGGAGAAATCAAGATCTTCTCTTAGGCTGCTCTTTGTGAATTTGTCCTTGGTATTCATATAACCAGATTTCACCTGGATAAACATACTGAGGGGTGGGAGTTATGGTGTGCTTCATCTCTCCCCTCCTGCCCACCGCCATTCTAGACTCCTTGATCCTATGGAAAGATAGCGTAGACCTGGGGTTTCAGCACCATGGACAGGACATCAAGTCTGGATACCCTGCGCAGACCTGCGCCTCAGAGCCGGGTGGGGGTTTGGCTTGGGTGCTCCTGGGGACTGACACATCTTCTTGGCTTTGCCTCCTCCGCCCCCTTTCCATCTGCGAGGGTTGCCTGGGAATCAGGTTCCCTTCCTGCCTCCTTCTGACTCTTCCAATTACCCTATACTCAACCCACCCCTGGCTCCCTGGAGAGCTAAGCTGGGCTCTCTTGCAGTTTAGGAAATGTTGGAGGAGGGGCACCTGGCTAGCTCAGTCAGAGGAGCTTGCAACTCTTGATCTCGGGGCTGTGAGTTTGAGCCCCACGTTGGGTGCAGAGATTACTTGAAAATCTTAAAAAAAAAAAAAAAAGAAATGGAGGAATCCCTTGCTCCCACAGGCTAGGCGTGTTCCCAGGCTGCACACACGACCTTTACACAGTTCAATGAACTGTGCACACCTTGGCCTACTGGTATTTACTTAAATTATAAATGTAAGTTGGTCCCACTTTGTGTAAAACTGATGTATGAAAATCCAAATTGATTACAACCTGCACCTTAGAAGAGGGCTTCCTGTCCCAGCTTTCGTGGGATTTGGGGGTTTCGTGGCCGGGCCTCAAGGTGATCTCTGAACCGGCTGGAAATGTGGGATGTTTTCTCCTTCGCTGTGTGTGCATGTGTAACAATTTATACGCTTTTTGTTTTCTGGGGAAAGGTTTTGTAGATTGCATCGGATTCTCAATGAGCTCAGGAGCTTGAAAAAGTTAAGGAAACAGCTGAGCTAAAGGATCGGCCAGTTCAGAGCTTTCTAATGTTTTGGGGCTGCTGGTCACTAGTTTGCAAAGTCAAATTCTAACCTCCTCATGCCTGCGTCCCCTTCAAGGCTGCTGTGGGGCAGCTTCTTTCTCCTTCTTTTCTTCCCCACACTCCAGCTCTTGAGGTCAATGTTTGGGAATGAAGATGTCTGTCAGTCCACAGTGTAATTTGAGTTGTAAAATGCTGAGGTCACTAGCACCCCTAGTAGCCTAAAACTGATTTCATTGCATACATTTACTCTGTGCACATTTTCAGAAAAGGACTATTTTGTGCAGCATGAGGGTAATGGTGCAGGCAAAATCATTACTCCCAAATATGAGGAGAATCTGTCTATGAAGATGATTTGTCATGCCCTGGGTGGCAGCAAGACATCTTTTGTCAAATACTGTTGAATTGCAACTAATTCTTGTAGGGCCAGAGGCTTTGTGTGGTGCTGGGGCTCGTGGTCACGTGTGTTGACTTGTGCTGGGTGTTGGGTTTTTGGGGGGGGGGGGGGGGGGGGGTCTCCTGAACTGTCTGACAGTGTTGGTCTGTCTCACTGCCCTTCTTAGAGCGCCTTGTGTCAGGGTCAGGACTCAGTGCTGGGCCAGCATCAGGGCTCAGTCTATTGCTGAGCTCAGGCCACAGTGTGGGACTAAGGCTGGGCTCAGTCCGGTCCAGGGTTGAGGCTCTGTTTGAGACCTTGGTTATGAATTTCTGTGGTAACTATCCGGGCTCGGTCTGGAACCATGAGCAGGGCTTGGTTTCTTGCTGATGTCAGGGCTTGATCTAGAGCCAGGATCAAGGTTGCTCTGGAGTCAAGGTCAGGTCTACTGTTGGGGAATCTAGCACTATAGTTGGGGCTCAGTCAAGGATCAGGAGGGCTCAGTTTATTGCTGGCACTAAGGCTCAGTCTAGAATTAAGATTGAGGCTTAGTCTGTGGCTGGGATCAGGGTCAGACTGGGGCTGTTTCGCAGGTGACTTATGTATGTGGCCTTCCTTCCACAGGTACCCAGGACCCCACACCCAGGGATGGAATCAGCCGATAGCAGGCGTCTGGCCACCAAGCACAGCAGGAAGGCCTTGAAGGCCAGTCTGACACTGGGCATCCTGCTGGGCATGTTCTTTGTGACCTGGCTGCCCTTCTTTGTGGCCAACATAGCCCAGGTAATGCCACCGCAGGGGGCAGGTGAGTCCAGGCCTCGCTGGGGAGGCCCCGAACTGCACCCTAACCCAGACATGGGATAGAGGGGGGTGGGCTGCCTCTCATGGCCTCTGTGTTTGTGGGTTCCTGTCCCATCCATGCTGGCCAGGGTGGTCTGTGACCCTGCTCCGGGACCGAGCATGATGTACCCCATCTCTCCAGGCTGTGTGCGACTGCATATCCCCGGACCTCTTCGATGTCCTCACATGGCTGGGTTACTGCAACAGCACCATGAACCCCATCATCTACCCACTCTTCATGCGGGACTTCAAGCGGGCCCTGGGCAGGTTCCTGCCGTGTCCCCACTGCCCTGAGGAGCGCCGGGCCAGCCTCGCCTCACCCTCTATGCGAACCTCTCACAGCGGCCCCCGGCCCGGCCTGAGCCTGCAGCACGTTCTACCACTGCCGCTGCCACCTGACTCCAGTTCTGACTCAGGCTCAGGTTCCGGTGGCTCCTCGGGCCTGCAGCGCACGGCCCAGCCCCTGCTGCCTAGAGAGGCCCCCCGGCAGCCCCCGCCCTCTGCCAGGGCTGCCGCGGTGGTCAATGTCTTCAACATCGATCCTGTGGAGCCCCAGCTGCAGCTGCATCCCCTTGGTGCTCCCACGAACTGACCCGGGCTTGGAGCTGGTCGGCGGGAGCTGGACTGGATAGAACCAAGTCCCCAAGTCTTTGGACCAGCTCTTGGCTAAGGCTGGCAGGCTGCAGGTGTCCTGGGGGCCCTCGGAGCGCCAGTGGGGTGCACTGAGCCAGCCCCCACTGCCCACCCCTGGCGGGGGGAAACAGCTGGCTCAGATACGGTTTTCTCCAGGACGCCCCACTGCTGAGTGCAACCTGTGGGTGTGTGTGGACGTGGCTGGAGGACTCTGGCAGAGGGGAAAAGGACTTCTGGGTTCAGGTTAGGGTGAAGACAATCATCTTTGACATTTGATGAGACTGCAGGGGAGGGATGCCTCTGTCTGCAGAGGTGGGTGAGTGCTGGGCTGAGTCCCTCATTCCTCAAAGGGTAGTCCTCAGGCCACCAGCATTTGTGGTACCTCCCTGGAATTTGTTAAAAATGCACACCATTACCCCCTCCCCTCCCGCCATCCAAGACCTGCTGAGTCAGAATCTGCATGCTCGCAGGAGCCCCAGGTGAACTGTGTGCACCGTATAGTTTGAGCCACGCTGGCTTGGATGATCTTTAACCGTGAGAATGATTTGTTTTCAGTCTGGACAGTGCCTCAGGATGTGTGTGGGGCTGCACAGAAAAACACCTGGCCTGGGAGTCAGGAAGGCAGAAATCCGAATCTCCGCTCCACTACTCACTAGCTCTTGCATAGGTCTCTTAACCTTTCTGAGCCTGGTATTCCATGTACAAAGTGGGGTAACAATGCCTGCTTCATAGGGTGTCACCAGAATCAGGAGAACATGTGTAGACTACCCAGTACCTACAGGTGGTCCTGCCGTAGGTGGTACCAGCTGTTGCCACAACTCCTGGGCATTCAGCCCCCTTGGCCTCTCGCTATGGGCCAGGAAGGGCTGTTTGTTCCCACTGTTTTTCCTATCTCTCTCCTCCTCTTCAGCCCTGGCCCAGATCCCACCACCTGACTGACCATGGCTCCCCACCTTTTTGCTCTGGATGCCGGGCGGGGCTCCCATCCCCGCTCCCAGGCTGCTGCACCGCCTCTCCTGGGGGGGCAAAGCGGGAGCTGGTGGTTTCTTGCTCAACACCAGGAATAGGTCTCCCTCCACCCTGGAAGGGAACTAACTGATGGGGATAGACCAGCCCATGGCCCCACCTTCTCCTGGCATTGCCTGGGTCGGCCAGGGAAACAGGAGTCTTGGCCACTCGGGTCCGCAGAGCAGGGTGCAAGAGCCTGGTGTGGGTTGCTGCCCTCAGGTGGGTCGGTGGACCCTGGCACAGGGACCTGGGTTGTTTTTGAGGGGGGACTCTTGGTTCCCACAGTTTACCTGCCACAAGGTCCTTTCCAGTCTGAGGCCCCCCAGATCCATCACCCCAAACTCCCAGGGAGCCCTCCACTAGTGGCCTGGGGCTCTCCTTGGTGCTGATTAGATTCAACTCTGGCCCCTGTCACTGGTTACAAGAGGGCTCATGGTGCTTGTTGGGGCTTCCCCTCCGCCCCCAGGCCTGCCCGAGTGGAGTCTGAATAAACACTAGCTGAGGCAATGACCGTGGTGTGGACTGGATTTGCCTGAGGGGTCCCTGGGGTTGGAGAAGCAGCTGGTGGGAGTGGGATGAGACCCTGGGCCACATGAGCTGTGTGGACTCACAGTAGCAGTTCTGTAAATATTTGTTGAACGAACAAGCAAACACACACATGCGGGGACCCAGCCACCCTTAACAGTCTAGTTTCTTCTGCTGTCCTCCTCCGGGCTGCCTCCTCCCAAGGCCTCGTCAATACTTTCTCTGCCTGGGCCTTGGTTTCCCCATCTGCACAATGTGGGAGAACCATCTCTGGCCCCTCATTCAGGGACAATGGAAGGAACATAGGAGGCTTCCATGGAGACAGATTCAGTAGCCGAGAACTCGGGCTCCGGAGTCTGACTGGAGTTAAGAGACTGACCAGCTTTGTGACCTTGAGGAGGTTACCTAACCTCTCTGGGTCTCAAGAACCTTCAGTAACATGCAGATAATAATAGTAGCTACCTCATAGGGTTATCGGTAGGGTCAGCCGAGACAACCCACGGAAGCACTCTGTCCTTGCTAAATTCTCAATGAGTGGTACCTATTATTATTTTTACTATAATCATTATCCCCCCTTCCTGCTGTAGGAAATCCTTCCCCCGTGTAATTCATTCTTGTCACCAGGCCCACTTCCCACCCATAGTGCATGCTGATTCAGCATATATTCATCACGCTGTGAGTTACATCCAGAGCACCACACAGCACAACTGGGGGGACGCTTCACATCACGTCCATGTGATCCATGCTCCTGGGGTTCTGCAGTGCACAGCCTGCATATGGCCCTACAGGCACATCTGATCGCACCTCCCCAGAGCAGAGCCAGCTGCGGGCTCCCCACCTGCATCCACTCTGTAGGTGCATCAGTGGTGCCCCGTGGGCTGGCGGGCAGCCCTGCTGTGTGGATGGAAGAGCAGGCGTCCACCTGGACTCACTGGGGCCGTGAAAGCCCCCTGGGCCCCCAGATGGCCAGCCAGCCCCCACAGCTGCGGCTTGAAATACAGGAAGCCCAAGGCTGGCAGAGTCCTGGGGCTCTAAACTGTGGTTGGTTGTCTCTGCAGGGCTCCGGCCTTGCTTCCTCGGGGAGGGAACGCTATCTCTCTTCGACTCCCCTCCTTCCAATGCCTTACTTTTCAGTCCTAATGCCTTGAACCTGGGAGAGGCACTGGTGGAAATTCAGAGCTCACGTGGGGCAGCTGGTGGAAGGGTAAGGGAGTGTTACATGGAGGAACCTGGGAAGGCAGCTCGAGTCCCCTTCTGCGGTCAGTCCAGCCCTGGGCAGGGCCCCTGGGTCTCGCTGGCACAGTCGGGGCAGCCCAGTGGGTTGGGGCCCGTGCCGTGGCTGCAGAGCTGGGGGCTCTCAGCCGGGCTGGTAGTGGCAGGACGGGAGGCACCTTCAGACTGGTCCAGCCCTGTTGGCACCTGGACTCGGCTAGGGTCAGCGGGTGTGGCCACTTTAGGGTTGTCTCCGGGTGTGGTCTTGTCTGATGAGGAGGTGGCTGCTACCTGGCGAGGCTCCTCTTGGGGCGGACTGCCCGGGGTCAGCAGGAGCCCCTTTTCATCCCAGCCTGGCTTGGTGTGGATGCCCACAGTCTTCAGGATGATGTCCATCTGCCTGGCGTAGTCCAAGTGGCCACTGACCTGCAGGAGGGCAGTGAGTGAGGGCCATGGGGGGGGTGGCGGTCAGAGCCCTGCCCTCCCCAGGGCCCCCAGCGGAGCTCTTGGGCCTCACCCTCTCCCTCTGCAGCCTCAGCCACCTGATCCCTAACGCCAGGACTCCAGCTCTCAATGACCTCAAATCCAGAGTGGGCTGGGAAACCTCTGGGCCCACGGCCACTCTCGAATTTATTAAACATAGATGAAGGATGTTTCTCTATAAAATCTGGGTCCTTTGGGGGCAGGAATCATCACTAAGACAAAGGTTGAGGACTCAGAAGAAGGGCCCACCTTCTTCCTCAGAGAATAGAGTTACGCCCACTTTTGTGTTGGGATGTGTCAGTGAGTGAAAAGTAGGGGTGACTGAGAACACCCGATGCCTCACGGTGATCACGGACAATGCCCAACACGTAGTATATCCTTAATACGCTGTGATGAGCTTACTGGATACGGTCCTTTGACAGGTGTTGGCTCCTACCTGTAGATGAAGGAATTGAGCCAAGGAGAGCTAAGGTGACTTGACCAAGGTCATATAGCTAGGAGGTGTCAGAGTCGGGTTTTGAATCTGGGCCTGTTCTCTTCATAGCAAATGAGTTGGGGAGGGGAACTTTGAAAATCATTGCCATTTTACCAAACAGGAAAGCAGTGTTCATAGAGGGGTGGTGGTTTGCTTAATGACACACGACGACACGTGAAGAGCAAAGCTGCATGGGGCTGGGCGTGAGACGCTGCATGTGCAGTAGTCTGCTCAGCTCAGATCTGCTCCTGAAATGCAGCTGTGCGCTACCCCCCACCCCCAACCCAGGCCACGGGGTCTGCTTTAGTGCCAGAGGCAAGGGCAAGACAAAACATTCCTTTTTGTTTAGAAAGAAGACTGGGGTGTGGGGGGGAACACTGCGGACACTTAGGGAACCACACAAAGGCTCAGTTGGTAACATCTGCATTTCCATTTGAATCACAAATCACACTGAGCTATTCAAATGAGTTTTCAAGAACACAAGAAGACAATTCCCTGTGAGGTTTTGTTACTTTCTCATAACCAGAACCTGCTGACTTCTCCTTCCTTTTTTTTTTAAAGATTTTATTTATTTATTTGAGAGAGAGGGGGAGAGAGAGAGAGAGAGAGCACAAGCGGGGGGGGGGGCAGAGGAAGAGGGAGAGAGAGAATCCCAAGCGGACTCCATGCCGAGCGCAGAGCCTGACACGGGGCTCGATCCCACGACCCTGGGATCATGACCTGAGCCGAAACCAAGAGCCGGACGTTCATCGGACTGCGCCACCCAGGCGCCCCTCATTCCTTTCTTTACAAATGCTTTTAAACAATGTTCAGTGAACACACACAAGTATACACGCATACAAGGGGCTTTTTAGATCCCTGGGTTCAGGGTGGAGGTCAAGGTGGGGCAGTGTCTTCCCACAGAGGGTGGACGTTACTGGCTGCAAGGCACTGGAAAGAACCTGAGTTTGGCGTCAGCAGAACAGGGGTTCCAGCCTCAGCTTTCTCTTACTAGTAACTGGGGGAGTCCTTACAATGTCCTGAACCCCAGCTTCTCCATCTGTAGAATGAGGATCAGGACACCTACCTTGAAAGTCTACTACGAGAGTTCAAGGGCCGGGCACTTTGTAGGAATCAGCATTAGTAACCTCTATTATGTTCCATATATGGCCCCGAACACTTTCATAGGGACATTACCCAATTAGAATTAGTGATACCTACCTTGTGGGGTGGTTGGGAAGAAATAATACGTACAAACCATGTGGTATAGCACCTGGCACATGGCCAGTGCTGCATAAATATGGGCTCCCTTGCCTTAGTGTCCTTGGAAGGGGCGATGGAGGACAGAGGGCAGGGCCTTAGCAGGGCTGATCCATTTGGGAACCCCAAATGGCTGCTGAAGCTCTAGCCATCACATCTCAATTCCAGCCAGCAGAAACCTAGATGCACAGGGACAAACCAGAACTATTGAAGGGCTTGTGCTGGGCTGGGTGGAGGCAGACAGGAAGGAAGGAAGGGCTCGTGGCCACCGGCTGTAGCTGATTCCAGGGGGAAATCCCACCATGCAGCTCTCCCAGAACGCACAGCTCTGGCCTTCCATGACTCCAGCCAACTCTAGTCTCTGAGCTGCCACTCTGCAAAGACCCAGGGGGACCGCTTGCTGGCAGAATTCCAATTTTACCAACTTTAGCCAAAGGGATGGGAGAGCCGAGGTGAGGCGGGGGGGGGGAGAAGAATCTCTTCTTGGTGGCGGGAAGGTCCGCTGTGGCTGATGCAGGACCATCTCTCCAGCTGTCTGGATGGAAAGGGGCCACCCATCCGGATTCACACTGGGGGTCACTGGTGCTGAGAAGCCCTCCCTGACCTTCCCACGCTGGCCAGGGGATGGTCCCTGGGGCTCCCCTGTGACAGTGTTTGCTGCACCCCATCGTCTTTATCTGCTCACACGTTTGTTCTCTGATGGACTGTGAGCCTAGAGAGGGCATGGGCCACTTCCGACTCACTCGGGGCCCACAGCTGGCCCCGTGCAGCGCTGCCAGATCCACGCAACGTGGACGGGCCTCGGCACCACCTGTTTGCGGCCTCGCAAGGCACCGCGGGACTTGCCCAAACAAGGGGCTGCTGTCCAAGCCTTCGCCTGCCACCAATGCCTTCCAAGCCTGTCAGGCCCCTTCGGGTTCCTTTCCCTCCTGGGCCTCCGTGTCCTCATCTGTAAAACGGGGATGGCAAAAGCACCTGCACCGTGTGCGCGGGTGTGAGCAGTCAGGGAGCTGACACACGGGGCGGAGTCACGGACACGTGAGCGCGGTGGCCTCCAGCCCAGGCTCTGGTATGTTCCCCGGGCTCCACCCCTCACAGGCAGCCTCGGCTTGCACACCTGTACGGCGGGGCCGCCATCCCCCCGTCACCGGGACGCTGTGCGGACTGGCGACACACGATCTCTAATACATGCGGCGCCGCGCCCGGCACATGCCGGCTTTGTCAGCCTGAGCTCCTGCCCCACCCTGGGCTAAGTTCTAGAAGCCAGCTGGCATTTCCTCTGGGACATTAGAAGTTCGGAGACCACTGTGCTGGCTCTCGTGCCCTCCAGAAACCTCACGAGTTGGCCCCTCGGGTGGCGGCACCCCCCACCCGCTGCACCCCTGGCCCCACACAAGGCAGGTGGGCGGCCCCGCCACAGGAGATGGCCCCCCGCCTGCCCGCGCCGGGGCCAGCCCCTCACTCCCTGCCGGCTCAGGCTAGTCCGTGGCCAGGAGCCACCGCAGACCACGTCTGGGTCGGTGGCCGACGCGGGGCTGGTTCACGAAGGCTCTGCCGGCGTCGGCCCCGCGGGGAGAAGGCAGACGGTGCAGGCCTCGCTCTGAGCACCCGGCAGCCGGCGCGCCGGCCACAGCAGTAACGGCGACTCTCTCCAGCAAGAATCCTCCAGAAAAACGGGAGGGCAGCACAAAGGCAATGCGAATTACCTCCAATTACCCCGAAAGAGAGCCACTGCTTCTTGTGCTGTGCCCCTAAGGGGTCATAAGGAGCTACGTACGATCAGGTAAGAGCCAGGAAGCTGCCTCAACAACGGTCCAAGGCGGGAGAGGGGTCTCAGGGGCAAAAGAGCCAAAGGGGGTAGCAGGGGCAGGAGAGGAGGGACCTAGCATTGAAAGGAAGGCCTCGTACGGGCGGAGCATCTTACACGCGCTGCCCCGGAAGGTGAGTCTCCCCATTTCACAGATGAGAAAACTGAGGCACAGAGGGGTTAGGTCACTGGCCTGAGGTCACGCAGCCAACACGCCAGTGGCAGAACCTGGCCTCTCTGGGGCCAAAGGCTGCGCTCGTGCCACTGTATCCCCCTCAGGGCCTTCCCAGGGCAGAACGTGGGTCTTGCCAGGGTTCTGTGGTGTTTAAAGGGAATTTCATTTACAAGGGTTTCTTCTGATCCTTTTTACTTTTGATTCAATAGGACAGTGACCCCAGGACACAGGTCAGGAGGCCTCGCTCTGGTCCTGTGGTGTCTCGGTCTGGTCACTCAGCTCACCTCACCCCACAGGGAGGTGGACAGCACAGCCCTGGGCCTGGTGGCACAGTGTTCTGGGGGCGGGGTCCAGGTGCCCAGCTCCACCCACCATCAAGGTGCGGTGGGCAGGGAGGGGGTCACTGGCACAGGCTGCTTGGAAGCCCGAGTCCTCCAGAGCGCCCTTCCCCCTGGGGGCGTTTCAGATGCCCCCGGGGGGTCTGGTCTGTCTGCTCTCTGGCAGGGTGGTGCCTTATGGAACCCGGGGGAATGGGGATACGCTGGGAAGTGCTTGGCACTTGACCACTGGCAGCCAACCATGTAGTAACTGGAAACTGGGGTTCTTCCTCTCATGGGCCCCTTGCATCGCAAGGATTTGCACTGGCCCGAGCCTGCCTGCGGACGTAACTGCAGCTTAGCGCCCTCACCCTCCGGGTAGCGGCACCTCTCCCACTGCTGGCCATGTCTTCCTGCGCAGAAGCGATGCCTACTGGCCTCAGAGCTGGGTCTGAGTCCTGCTCGGCCACGTTCCCACTGTGTGACCCTGGGCAAGTCCCTTAGGCTCTCTGAGCCTCAGGGTTCTCATCTGTACAATGGGGATGCTGGCGCCTGCAAAGGCTCGGGGCAGAGCTAGATATGGAGGCTGTCCCACAGGAAGCTCTTAGCTCTCTGTGACAGGCGAGTGCAGGAGGCTGAGCTTCCTTCAAGCCCGAGAGGTGGCCCTAGAACCTCAAGTTCGGTGCGTCCCACCCCATCCCCAGCAAGAATTCTCCTGAACCGGTCGCCTGGGTGGCTTAGTTGGTTGGGTGGCTGCGTTCGGCTCAGGTCATGATCCTGGAGTCCCGGGATCCAGTCCCACATTAGGCTCTCTGCTCGGCGGGGAGTCTGCTTCTCCCTCTGACCCGCCCCTCTCATGCTCTCTCTCACTCTCTTCTCTCTCAAATAAATAAATAAAATCTTAAAAAAAAAAAAAAGAACTCTCTGGAACCATCTGCACCCCCTGACCTAAGCTAGCCTTTGATGTCCAGGACTATTGTGGGGGGGGATGGCGGGGCCTGTTCAATCGGCAGGCTTTGCTCCCAGAGACTGATCGAAAGGTCTGTGCAGGGGCCCTTTGGTCTGCATTTTATTATTTTTTTCCCAGTGTCCTTGGGGGGGTGTCTTGCATTTTAAATAAACCCCCAGATGTTTCCAAGGTGGGGGTTCCTGGAACACCTTCCCTGCTCTGCATTCCACAGTGTCACAGCCTGGCCATCAGGGGCTTCTGTGGTCTGGCCCCAATCCCTCCACCTGTGTCCTCTGGGGGCTCTCAGTATTTCCAGGGGAACCGGACCGTCCTGATGAGTAACTGGGGGTGGGGTGGGGCAGGGAGGGCACTAATGTAGGGCCCAGAGCAGGGGCTCTGGAGGTGCACATCCGGGCTGCTGATGGCCACTTGTGTGACAGGAACTTTCCTAAGCCTCAGTTTCCTAGTCTGTGAAATGGGCATAATCATGGCTGCCCCGGGGGCTGGGTGAGGATTAGAGACAATGAGTGTGAAGGACGTGGTGACAAAGCGCCGGCTCAGAGACGGTGCCTGTAAACAGGAATTACTTACCCACCCCCCCACAAGCAAATTCTCATGACCTCCCTCCTCCAGGGTGAAACGGGCCAGTGTCCCTGGGGCCAGGGGTGGCTGGGCTGGAGTCACGAAGCACCCCCGCTGGCAAACGCAGAGCCCGAGGCGGGATGGCGATACTCACCACAGAGGACAGGTCCACATTCTCCACCCTCCTGTCCTGCAGCAGCACGGGCTGTAGGCCGGCCACGCGCAGCTGCACGGAGGACGTGCGGTACACGAAGCTCAGGAGCCAGTCCCCCCTGCGGGCAGACAAGGGGGCGACGTCAGCCCTGGGGGGCCCACCTGGCCCTGGGAAGCCCAGTCGGAGCCGTGCACCCGCGGGCAGGATGGTGGAACAGCGGCTGCCTCTTTGGGGGTGAAGCCCGGGCCACAGCAGCCCTAGAAGGCTGTCCGTTTTGTCCCTGCGGGGGTCCCCAGAGCTAAGAACAGTGCCTGGCATGCAGCAGACGAGTGCCTGCTGGATGCATGCATGCGGACCCCGGACGACGTTCTCATGAGTAAGCATGTGGCTTTGGAGGGGTTTCCGGCTCGGGGGGGTGCCGGGCAGTGGGTGGACGCTCTAGGGCTCCATGGGAAGAGAAAGGCAGCGGGGGTCCTCCTGGGGGCTTCTGTGCTCTGGGGGACGGAACTCAGGGGTCTGGGTTCCTGTCTGTCTGTGAGCTGGGGGGCCCAGCTTGCCCTCTGACGCAGGTCCAGCCCAGCCTGCAGGCCTCCCTGCCCTCAGCCATCTTGGAGGCGGCAAGGCTGGCTGCCCAGGCAGGTCCTGCCCTGGGAACACACCTTCACTTGCACGGGTGCGGTGAAGCCCACTCCTGGCACCCTCATCCCTAGCCAGACACACCCCTACAGTACTGAGGGAAAATAACCCTGGACCCCGTGCTACCTGTTTCTTCAGGTACCGTGAGCACTGTCCACGGAGGACATGGTCAGAGGGGCCCACGAGACAGCCTTCTCCTTGAACCCTTGACTTTGTCCAGTTGAAGCCGGGCCAGCCGCGAGCCGAGCACTTGGCCTCACTGCTCAGCAGGTTTGTGCAAGTGGACACTGCTTGTCTCCCCTCTGCAGGGGGCGGGGGACTTGCATCCAACTTAGCACATCTGGTTGTGTTTTATTGGGACTGACTCCCACTCTGGTTTGCATGGCAACGTGAGACCATGGTATTTGCGTGCTCATGTGGAAGAAGGGTCTCTCTTGCAGTGCTGCATGAACCAAGAAGGGGCTCAGAGTCCGGGGTCCCTGGGCGCTCTCCAGGCCCCCTCACAGGTGGTCTCTGACCACAAGGGCGCTCCTGTGCTTACCACCCCAGAAACCCCTGGAAGGACTGGGACAGAGAGTTGAGGGGGCCCTCTACAGACCCTCCTGTGGTGTCCCACACGGAGTGTCCCAGCCCTGACTCCCTTTCTACTGTCATCCGCCCGGTCCCCCAGGCAGAAACCAGTGGGGCAATGTAGGCCCCTTTCCCCCAGTGGCCAACCCACCAGAGTCCTGCTGATTCTTCTCACCTGCACCCATTCGGTCTCTCTGCCCCAGCCCTGCGATCAAGACAATGGCCTCCCCTCCCACACGCCACCATGGCTTTCCTGAAACACCCATCTGACCACGGCCCTTCTCTCTTAGAAGCTGATCGTGTCTCCCCACGGCCTGTAGGCTTTCTCTTCTAGAAAATTCCTTTACTTTCTCCAGAGAACAATGCTTACCAGTCCCAGTGATTATCTTAATATTGAGGGCCCAAGAAGCACCGTCTCTAAGAGGGGACGGCCAAGTGGAGAAGAAAGATTCACCCAAGTTGTTCTCTTGCACTAACCATGACTTAATTGCATCAGATACTGGGAATGAGGGTGGTCCGTAAACATTTCTGTTATAGACAGTTATAATGAGCCAAGTCAGCATCATCCCTTCCACATTGTTTCTGTCTTCATTATGACAACACTCAACTTAAAATGTTAATTGCTTCTGGCCTGCAATGTTTCTGCTGAAAAAAAAAAGTTAATTGCACTTCCTTGTGTACATTTAGGAACAGAACAGGAACATATGTTAGAAGGTTCCATATCCTCTAAACTGTGCTGAGCAAACCACAGGGTCTTCCCTGGCATTCAAGACCCTTCTCTGTCTAGCATCTGTCTCTCTCGCCCGGGGTGGGCCATAATCCCACACACGGGGCCACACAGAGCCAGGCTCTAGTCCTGCCTTGTCAGTTCCTAGCTGTGTGAGCTTGGGCCAGTTGCTTGGCCCCTCTGGGCCTCAGTCTCCTCACTGCATCTTACCGCCCAGGGTGGGCAGGAGTGTATACTAAGACAGCACATCACGGACACGGTGCTCATGCACGTGAATATTCAGGAAGCATCTGGTCTGATTTTGCCTCCCGCTCTGGGAACTCTTGCTTGGCCCAGCCTTCCCGTGTCTGGTGGGCTCTTATCCATCCTTTCAAAATTCAGCTTGGATATCATCTCCTCCGGGGAGTGCCCCTGAGCCCCTCCACCTGATATTGTTAATAATTTGCCCCTCATGTGCCTGGAATATATGCTCCTTTGGGGACATGAGTCCCATGTCCTCTGTGTGTCCATTCTTGAGTCTTTTCCTTTTCTAGGCAGAGAGTTTTTTTTAATTTTTTTTAAGATTTTATCCATATATTGGACAGAGAGAGTGCACAAGCAGGGGGAGAGGCAGAGAGAGAAGGAGACTCTCTGCTGAGCAGGGAGCCTGACGTGGAACTTGATCCCAGGACCCTGGGATCATGACCTGAGCTGAAGGCAGATGCCTAACTGACTGAACCACCCAGGCGTCCCTATATTATACATTTATAAATGTTTAGTTTTTGGTAGTTTTGGCCTGAAACTCTCCCCCCCCCCCCCCCCCCCCGCCATGCTTAAGGAGGTTCGAAGCAAGTAAAACACCTTTGGGGGCCCAGACTATGACATCTTGGTTGGTGCTAGAAACTACAGTTATGGTGCTCTGTGTTCCTTCCTCCTACTTTCCCTGCTTTCCTCCTCCTCCTCCTTTGTCTCCCTAGAGAGATGGCTCAGGATCTCACAGAATAATTGAAAACCAAGCTTATTAGCCTCAGGTTTGCAGCAGAACATATGGGTTTAATAAGTTTTTGCTGCTTTCATATTGCACCCATGCAATTTTAATTCCTTCCCTTTGCTGTTTGTGAAAAGCACCAAAAAATCATGTGCTATGTGAATGGGCCCAGTTATTACAACTGCTATAGTTTATTGAACACCTACTAAGTGCCTGCCCTTTTCCTAAATAAGGTCATTTAATCTCCCCAGAAGCCCTGTGCAGGAGGGACTATTATTCAACAAGTAACTGGCTGAGCCAAGATTTTAACTGAGTACTTTTTTTTTTTTTTTAAGAGAGAGTAAGTGCATGGGGGGGTTTGGGGGGATGGAGAGGGGCAGAGGGAGAGGGAGAGAGAATCCTCAAGCAGACTCCCCGCTGAGTGCAGAGCCTGACCTGGGGCTTGACCTCACAAGCCTGAGATCATGACCTGAGCCGAAATCAAGAGTCGGACGCTTAACCAACTGAGCCACCAAGGCGCCCCAACTGAGGACCGTTGGAAATCAAACCCGCAATGACTCTGTGCCTCTGTTTCTGTGTATCTAGTCCAGCAGGATCACAGAAATCAGAATGTGTGGGATCAGAAAACTGGCACGTTAAAAATTTTGGTGGATATGGCCACTTGTTCTCCAAAAAATATTTACTAAATTCATCTGTCACATCAACAGTGTATGGCAGTGCCCATTTCTCTACATCTTCACCAGCACTGAATGTTACTCATATTTCAGATGTTTGATAATCCGATGGGTGATAAATAGTATCTTACTGATTTTAATTTGCATTTATTTCACTCATGATGAGGTTGGGCATCTTTTAAAAAATTTATTACTATGGGGTGTCTGGGTGGCTCAGTTGGTTAAGCGTCTGACTCTTTTGATTTTGGCTCAGGTCATGATCTCGGGGTCATGAGATAGGGTCTGCATCAGCCTCCAAGCTCAGTGGGGAGTCTGCTTGAGATTCTCTCCCTCTCCTTTTGTCTCCCCCCTACACTCTCTCTCTAAAATAAATAAATCTTTAAAAAAATTAATTGTATTTATTCTGTGAGTTTATGTGTAGATATCCTTTGAACGTTTTATTAGTTTTTTTATTGATTTGCATGGGCTCTTTATATATTATGGCTCTGTCTTTCGTTTCTTCGTTCTTCCTACCATGTCCTAATTCTAAGAACTCAGCTTAGAGTATACGTGAGAGAGCTAAACTGATGGTCAGAACTCCTGTGTCCTGGCTAATGTCCTCTGTCTGTGGCTAAAAGTCGTCTTTACCTTGAGCTCTGAACTATAAGCTGTTGCTGTGGGCTAAATCATCAAATGATAAAGACTTCCCAAATCTGTTCCATTTAGTTTTGTGTCCTACTTAGGATGGTTGGGCTTAGATCAAAATTAAATTTAACTGGCCTTAGTTTTCTCATTCGTAAATGGGGATTAAAGTACTAACACCACAAGGTTTGGGGGAGGATTAAAGGAGATCATGACCACAGAGACAGGACGGCACGCGGTAAAGAGTCTAATATCCCTGATATCTTCCCCCTCACGTTGTGGCACTGCTGCATTTTTAGTTTTGACTTTTTAATAACTGTCTATTTCCGTATGTGTCCTTTCCACTAGACGTGAACCTCTCTCACCAGGCCCATCTTTGCATTCCCGTGCCCAGCTATGGTCTCGGGCACAGAATGTTGGATGATCCTGCGTCGCCCCCAACCTCAGCTTGGAGCCTCTTTCTCCCTGCAAACCCGAAACATATTCTTTAGAATTGGGAATCCAGCACTTTGCTCTTTCTCTGTGTTTTGCCTTTCCTGTGATCTCCCCTGCCCTCTGGCTTCAGCGGAAGCTGGGGACCCCACTGGCCCTCACTCCAGCTCCGACTTCTCTGAGCTCTAGTGTTGCGTTTCCAGCCGGTTGGGAGAAAGGTCATGTTCATGACCCAGTGGATCGGCTGCTTCTCCGAGTCCTACCTCCTTGTTTTCTAAATTGTTCATATTTTAAGTTGTGTTCATGGAGCCCACAACAAGTCAGCCAACCTTCCCGTTTTCTAAATTCCAAACCTGTTCTTTGGATCGGGGCTTAGAATGTCACCTTCTGGTCCATACCCTGAGCTTTGGGTCATGACCATAACATGCGCGTCCCTTATCTAAAATCCGGGAGGCTGACTGTGTTTCAGAATTCAGGCTCAGGTCTGTGTGATTCTAAATCACTGCTCTTCAACACTGTCACCCTATCCTTTGCCTTTGGAGGGCCCAAGCACCTTCTCAGGCGGTCCTCCTGCAGTGTCAGTGGTGGGCTTCCTCTTTTCTTCCCCAAAGTCTGGGGCATGGCCTTGGCCAAAGCTCCCGAGTCCCCCTTCACCAAGCCCAACAAAGGGTACCTCCTTTCCAGCCTCACAGCCACCAGCCTTCACAGGCCCCCCCACATCTTGCTGAGGGGTGCTGCCCGGTGTGGGTCCTGGCTCCTCATTGTCGGCTGACTCTTCTGTTACCCCACCTGAAACGGGGCTCTGGGGGCTTGGCCCACACCCTTGCCCACCCCTTCCCGCACTGCTGAACGGCGCCCCCAGGAGCTCCTTGGCGGCATTCGCAGACCCCTGCTGGGGCCCAAGCTTTGGTTTTCAGTCCGTCCCACTGACCACATGCCTTTCCCCCAGATCATGGTGGCCAGCCTGGACTCTCCTGTCACCCCGTAAGCTGGCCTCAGACCTGACACAGGGAGCCCCTGTTCCTTCATCCTATGGGGACAGAGTCCCCGCCCCCCACCCCCGGTCAGAACACCTTGCTCCTAACAGGCCAGAGCCCCACTGGTCCCTGGGATCCTCCAGGACAGGGGCCAGGCCTCGAGCATCTGCATGCTAAGTGCTCAGTTAGTACTGTCACCCCCGGCGCAAGACTGGGACAGACCTGCTGTAGCCGTTAATGATCCTCCCAGACACCACCTTCCGGAAAGGCTCCCAGTGCTTGGCTTCTCCTTCTACGGGTGCGCCCAGCAGGACGACATCCTCAATGATCCCTTGGCAATCTGGAGAGAGACCCAGAAAAGGCGGTCAGTGTCCCTGACCACAGCGGGTCCTGGAAAGAACGCTCCAACAGTGGGGGCAGAGATGGATGTCACATGCACACGTGCTCACACACACACACGTGCACACACAGTAGTGGGGGCTTCCACACACTGAGTCGCAGGCCAGGGGGCTGATCTCTTCCTGCAAAGCACCATTATCCCTCTTTTATTTATTTATTTATAAAATATTCTATTTATTTGAGAGTGAGAGAGCACAAGCAGGGGGAGCGGCAGGCAGAGGGAGAAGCAGGCTCCCCACCAAGCAGGGAGACTGATGTGGGACTCGATCCCAGGAACCCGGGATCATGACCTGAGCCTGAAGGTAGCTGCTTAACTGACTGAGTCACCCAGGCGCCCCCATTATCCCTATTTTAGAGTTAAGGTAAACCACAGACACTGTCAAGATCACATAGCTCGGAAGTGCCACAGCCTGAGGTGGGACCCGGTTCTATTCTCAGCATCCGTGATGCTCCCAACCAGCCATGGGCTCGGAGGGAACATCTTTAGAAGAGACCGGCGGGCCCCAGGTCATCGTGTACATCGGGGTGAGGGGGCGATGCCCAGCCCTCCTCGGCAGCAGTTCCCTGGGGCCTGGGCGGCGCGGCGGGAAGGCGGGAGGGAAGGGAAAATGGGGGCAGACGGGTCCCAGGGCAGGGGGTACATCCATCAGTTTCACTGACCAAATGGCTCAGATACATTTTAGGTGGGCTTATTCAAAGTGCGATTCAACAGACCAGGGCTGGCCCCATGGACATTTGTCCTGTAAACACAGAAAGAGGACAGCATCATTTCTTCTACCTTGGGGCAGACTAGAATGCAACAGTTCGCAGACGGGCGTGAGCACACCCTGAGAAGTGCCGCTCCTGACCAATGAGAGGGGCGCATGTCCCCCCCGGACCCCCTGTCACTCTCTGTCCCTCCTCTGCTGTGCTTTTCTTCTTGGCACGTACCACTTGTTTCTGTCTTTCTGGGTGCGGTGAGGGCAGGTGCTCTTGCCGCCTCCGTCCCAGCTCTACGGCCGGGTCTAGAACAGTGCCTGGCCTGTGCCTGGTGCTCCGTAAAGATCTGAGTGAATGAACGAAGAGGAAGTTCCGTCCCTCAAGGAAGCCAGGATGTGTATTTTGCAAAGCCTTTGTAAAGCCGTGGCTTCAAATAACTTCTGGGTATGGGACCTGGGCCGGGTCACTGAACTTCTCTGAGCCCACAAGTGGGTGACGCCACTGGCCTTGAGGGTCTTTAGAATTAAGTCACAGCGTGGGAACAACCCAGCAGAGGCGATGCACAGGGTAAGTGAGTGTGGCCTCCCCTTGCCCTGAGCCTCCGCCTCTCCCCAAAGGTGGCTCTTTCTAATGCTTCTGAGTGTCTGTATGTCCTGGGAAGCAGCATGCTCAGTGACACTGCTGGGGAATGTGCCCAAGAGGGACCACTCTGCCCTGTCTTCCACGTTCCCACCAAGGGCCACAGGCCTGGTGGCTTCCTCTCTCTGGGCTTCAGATTCTAACCAGAGCGCTTCCAACTGTTCTAGGTCTGGGATTCCAGCTCAGCACTGGTCCAGGCTAACAGGTGTCCAAGCACCCCTGGAGTATCAAGTGTTCTTAGGGCTCTCCTGTCTCTGATGTTGAAAGATGCCACGGCGCAGGATTCTGATTTCACCCCTTTTGTTTCCAGAGCGATGATAACCTGGCAGAAGGATTTAAAACTTCAGGAAGCTGGCAGTGTGTTCTGAACAGCAAGGATGACTCAGGGGCCCCTTGATAGAAGGGTTATTTCGGGTGCTTCTGTGGCTGGCAAGGCCGTAGAGAATGGGATTTTATCCTAACCCCTGCTCTTGGCAGGTGAGGAAACTGGGTCTCAGAGGGGATGGGGCATGTCCAAGGTCATACAGGTAGTGAGAAGAAGCAGAACCCAGACCGCTTGGACGGAAGTGGCTGGGTCCTTGGGGCCATGCTCTCTGCTGTTTGAACCAGCAACGCAAAGCACCGTGATCACGTGTGGGTCATCACTGTTCCCAGAGTGCCAAACGGTTGTTGACCTGGGGCCAGTGACTGAGCTCAGCAGCTCTGCTCTGGGGGCTGGCGGCTCAAGGTACCTGCTCGGCCCCACATGATCTTGCCTTCTCTGGAGGGCGGGGACCCCTTGTGGCCAGCAGTGGTAACGCAGCATTCCTGATGGGTTGCCCTGAGCCAGTGGCTGAAAGAAAGCTGTTAGGAAAAGCCAAAAAAACGTAGTGGCCTGTGACCTTGAACTGAGACCGGTAGTTGAACCTCACAAAACAGTCCAGAATGTAGCCAAATCAAGTCAGGGTGGGCAGTGAGCTGGAAACACATTTACCTATCAATGACACCTGGGTGGCCCTTGGTCCTCAGGCCGTTTGCCACACTCAGACACGTGCCTTAAAGAGAGTTTGTTGTCTGCGAGGCTGCAAACCCGGAGACAAGCCATGTGGCAGGCTCTCGGTAATGCACAGGCATCAGCTGAGGGAAGTCGGCGAGAATTACTTTGGACCCACCCAACGCAGACTCCTCTATGCCAGGTCATCATCACCTGCCCGGTCCTGGGAATGGGATGGTCCGGGACGGGAATCTGGGGTCAGGGGAAAGAGGGTGCTGGCTGCTATAGTAGATGCTGGAAAGGAACAAATCTCAAATTTCACCGTTTGGTCCCAACCCTTCTAATACCAGGAGGTTTCATCCTTCCGGGTAAAATAGAGAAAACCCTCACTAGGTCCTGCTTTACTGTCCAACGGTGTCCTCACTGCCTTTTTGCTGCAGCGACAATGAATGTTTGTTGAAACATGTTTGGATTTACTTCTATTGCTACCATCAACTTTTCTTCTTGTGAATTTTTTTTTTTTAAGAGAGAGAGAGAGAGAGAATGTGTGCATCTGTGGGGCAGGGGAGGGGCAGAGAGAAAGGGAGAGAATCTGAAGCAGAGCCCAACATGGGGCTTGATCTCACGACCCTGAGATCATGACCTGTGCCGAAATCAAGAGTCGGACGCTTAACCGACTGAGCCACTCAGGTGCCCCTCTTCTTGTGAATTTTTAAGGTATGAGGATAGTTCTCTAGCTTTACAAATAGACTTCTGATGTAAAGGGAGGCAGGAATCCAGCATGGGTTCAGTCACCTTCAAGTCAGGAGACATGGCCTTCAAGCCTTGGATTTCTCACTTAAAAAAAAAAAAAGATTTCCTTATTTACTTTAGAGAGAGCCAGCAAGCAAGGCGGGGCAGAGGGAAAGGGGCAGAGAGAATCTCAAGCTGACTCTGTGCTAAGGACACAGCCCAACTCGGGGCCTGATCTCACAACCTCGAGATAATGACCTGAGCCGTCAAGTGTCAGATGCTCAACTGACTGAGCCACCCAGGTGCCCAGATTTCTCTTTTAAAAACAATTCTCTGTGTGTTACTAATATCCTGCTTTGTGGGGCCCCTTAGTGGCTCAGTCAGTTAAGCAACTGACTGACTCTTGGTTTCAGCTCAGGTCATGATCTCAGGGTTGTGAGATCGAGCCCCTCGTCGGGCTCGGTGCATGTGAAGTCTGCTTGGGATTCTCTCTTCTTCTCCTTTTGCCCCTCCCCCCTCGTTCTCTCTCTCTAATAAAAATAAATATTTTTTTATTAAAGATTATAATTTATTAGTCAGAGAGAGAGAGTGTGTGAGTGAGCAAGCGTGCACAAGCAGGTGGAATGAGAGAGGGAGAAGCAGGCTCCCCGCCTGCTTCTCAAGCAAGGAGCCCGATGCAGGGCTCGATCTCAGGACCCTGGGATCATGACCCGAGCTGAAGGCAGACACTTAACCGACTGAGCCGCCCAGGCGTCCCCAAAATAAATAAATCTTTAAAAAATATCCTGCTTTGTTAAAGCTGGAGGCCCTCTACCCTGTTAGAACTTCGATGTAAAGGAGGCTCTGAGCCTCCAGGAATTAAGAAAGAAAAGCTTTGCCAGTCATGTCTTTACCTCTCCACTTCTAGCCCTTTCTGTCGTTCACATGTTTGGTGAAAAACATTTCTTTCCCACACTTTCTTTGCTTCTACCTCTTGTTTTTATTCTTGACACAGGAGCCAAAGTGATCCCTTTACAACGCAAGCCATAGGCATCTTTTGGGGGTGATGGAAATGGTCCAAAATTGGGTCATGGTGATGGCTGCACAACTCTGAGTATTGACTAAATATCACTGAATTGTACACTCGGAATGGGGGATTTTGTGGTGTGTAAATTATGCTGCAGGAAAGTCAAGTCATTTCAATCCTGTACTCAAAACTCTCCCATGGATCCCACGTCCCCTGGAGTAAAAGTCAGTCACGGTGACAGCCCTCAAAGGCCCACGTGACCTTCCCCTGCTTTCTTCTTGCTCACTCTGCTCCGGCCATGTGGCCTTGCTCTTCCCTCTTCCCGAATGCGCTTCCCTTTGATTTCCACACCTCCACCCTCCCTCACCTCTCTCTCTTTTTTTTTTAAGATTTTATTTATTTATTTGAAAGAGAGAGACAGAGCACAACCAGGGGGAGAGGGAGAGGGAGAAGCAGACTCCCCACTGAGCAAGGAGCCTATCATGGGGCTCAATCCCAGGACCCTGGGATCATGACCTGAACCGAAGGCAGACCCTTAACCATATGAGCCACCCAGGCGCCCCTCCCTCGCCTCTTTGCTTAACTGTCACCCTCCCAGGGTGGACGAATGCACCCATCCCGTGCCTCACCTCCCTTCTTTGATTTTTCTCCATTGCCCTTAAGACTATTCTGACTTCCTACCTGTTTTGCTTTTAAAAGCCTCATTTATGGTCTGTCTCCTACTAGCATGCAGGCTCCCCCGGGGCTGAGATTGGTTTTTTGGTGCTCTCCAGTGAATCCCCAGTGCCTGGAACAGCACCTGGCACAGATGCTGAGCTCCACAGCTATTTGTGGAGTGAATGAAAGCAAGCAACGCGACTGAGCGGTAGGAACGCTTCATGCTGAGAATACA